TCAATAAACTCCAGTTCGGGAAGTGTTGACAACAGTCCTTATAATCACAGAAAAATGTTTGTCCCGAATGTGACCTCTGGTGGTGTCGAAGATTTTTCAACTTTCCATATACTTTTCGGCACTCATTGTAATCGCAAACATATTTGCCGTCAATTTTGGCCACTTTTCGCCTCCCATTGGGTTTCCTTTCAATACTCGACTCGACTTTCCGTTTATTACTTGTCTTGACATTAATTTTCGCTTCATTTTCATCAATCAATGCATTTCTTATGGTTTTCCTCATAATTTCTATGAAGTGTTTTGTCTCATTACTAACACCACAATTCACACCACCATCTGATTCATTGTCTGAATCCACTTCTACTTTAACTCCCATTTCAACGACTTCTTGATTATATTCTTCGAACTCATAGTCTCTGCGATCCCTTTCATCGGTTGTGTCCACACGTGACTCGCATTTGACACGACTTTCGCTGGCATTCAATGCAATCAAATCCAGTAATTCTTGAGTTGTTTTATAATTAATTAATTTATTGTTTTGTAAAACATTTAAATATTTTTCGCATTTCTTTAAAATCAAATCATTTCCGATTAACTCGTTTGACAACCGATTGTTTTCGCGTTTCAATGCATTAATCATTGAATACAACTCATCGCGACTTAAATCACGCAATGAATCAAACGATTGACTCATTTTCGGCACAAATTTGATTTCAATTAAAATACAGTAAATTATAATTTATTTCAATATTTTAAATACATTTCAAAACATAAACACAAAACATATGACAAACATTTCATACAAAACGTCAATTATTAAATGTATACAGTACAAATAAAACTTTAAATCAATTAAATATACTTTTAAATCAAATAAAATATAAAATTAATTTTGTATTAAAGTTATAAATATAAATCTTACGAAAATCTTACTATTAATGAAACTCCAATAAATATCATTAATAAATAAAAATAATTAGTAAATAATTACTGTAATGTCAACCAATCAAAGCACAGGTAGTATATCACTCACGGATCACCCGTATGTTTCTTAATATGGTTATCAAAAACAACTTTATTATCGGTGCTAAACTCGCACTGAGGCCAATGGCACCGGTAGTCCTTCAGACCCTTATGGCCCCTTTGGTGCATCAATAGTCCCCTTTGATTAAAATAGGACTCCTCGCAGCCGGGCCACTGGCACCGGTAGTTCTTAACGGTCTTATGACGCCTCGTCTCGTGCTTTGCCAACCGTTTTATGGTCGCGAATGTCTCGTCGCAACCCGGCCATTGGCACCGGTAGACTACGGCTCCGGTATGAGTATTCATGTGACACTTCATGTCGTACTTACTGCCAAACGTCTCCTCACAGCCATACCATTCGCACCGGATTTTCAGCGACTGATCGTGTGATGTCATGTGCTTTAACAGGACGTCCGGTCGGCCGAACCCTTTCCCGCATACACTGCACACGTGTTTCTTGAGGTGTAGCTTCCGGTGCGTCTCCATATAACTGGCCTGTTTGGTGCCAAACTGACAGCCCATTTGCGGGCACTCGAGCCACGGCAGCTCCGGGAAGGCGTCGGGATGTCGTCTCAATTGATGGGCACTCATCAGCGTGTGGTTCCTGAACGTGTGGCTACAGGTGCCGATCTCGCACGTGAACACCTCGTCCTTCAAATGGGTGAGTCTGTGCTGTAAGTACTCGTGTCGACTGGTGAACGCCTGATCGCATCCCTGGCCTTCGCACACATACTGTCCGCCCGATGTCTTCAAATAATCACGTTTTTTGCGATTCAGATAATCGGTGTCCGAATGACCGCTGATGTGCTGCTCTAAAGCCTCTTTAGACGCGGACATGAAGTCGCAGCCAATGATAATGCACTCAAACGACTGTCCCATCGTATGGGTGCCGGTCCTCATGTGAGTCTTCATAGTCCTGAGGGTCGAGAAGTGTTTGCAACAGTCGTCGCGTTCGCAGAAAAATCGTTTCCTCAAGTGTTGAGCCATTCGGTGGTCTTTCAGCGATTTGCTGTCGCGATAGCTTTTGCCACAATTGTCGTAATCACACGCATACTTCCCACTCCCGGTGCGGTAGAATTTTCGCGGAACTACTGTCGACCCCTTCGGATGCAGCCGTTCATCGTAGGTATGGCTGAGTATGTGTTCCTTTAACTCCTCTTTGGATATCGTCTTAAACTCGCATCGATTCACAAAACACTCGTACGGCTGTCCCGTCACGTGCGGGCCGTTCCTGCGGTGCTCTTTCCAGCCGTCGAATCGCGCGAAATGTCGACAACACTCGTCGTAATCGCAGAAATATCTTTCGCCCAAATGAGACATCCGATGCTCTCGGAGGCGACCGTTTTTGTCGAAAGTTTTGCCACAGATTTTACCGCAAACGTCGAAATCGCAAACCCATCGGCCGTTGATTTTCAAGAATTTCGCGCCATTTTGGTCGCCAATTGAACCCCTGGTGATCGACATAGGCGTTGATTTATCGGCCACTCCCTCATCGCCACTGTTCACATCAGTATCACTGCCTCCCGTTCCTCCCGTTCCTCTCGAATGCTTTTGCTTATGCTGTCGGAGACACTTGGCGTTCCCGAACGCCTTCCCGCATCCGATCCAATCGCAAACGAACTGTCCATCAGATACTGTCCTCTCTTTAAGTAAGAACCGTTCCTCATATGGATGACTGTTTATGTGTTCCTCTAACTCCTCTTTGGATGTCGTGTCAAACGGACAGTCAGTGACACAACAGGCGAACGGCTTTCCCAACACGTGATTACCGGCTTTCAGGTGCTTATGCAATGAACTCGAATACGCGAAATGTTTGCAACAGTTGTCGTAATCGCAGTAAAATCGTTGCCCCGTATGACACATCCGGTGCTCTCGAAACGATCTCAAATCGTAATAGACTTTCAGGCATTCCTCGACTTCGCACACATACTGTCCCTCCAATGACTTCCTGTACACTTGTTTGGCGGGCAATGGATCTCTAAATTTGAAGCGCTCGTCGTATGGATGACTGCATATGTGTGCCTCTAATGCTGGTTTGGATGCGGTCTCAAAGGGGCAGTCAGTGACACAACAAGCGAACGGCTGTCCCAACACGTGATTACCGGACTCCTTGTGCTTATTTAATGAACGCGAATAACCAAAATGTTTGCAACAGTTCTCGTAATTGCAGTAAAATCGATGTCCAGAATGAGACATCCGGTGCTCTTGAAATGTTTTTTGGTAATTAAAGCTTTTACCGCAACCCTCCACTTCGCAAACATACTGTCCCTCAGATTTACTGCTATTAATACTGTGACTTTGATTGTCTTTTTTACGGATGCGCTCATCGTATGGATGAGTCGATATGTGTTCCTCTAATTCCTGTTTAGATGTCGTCTCAAACTGGCAATCAGTGACATAACACATGAACGGCTGTCCCAACACGTGATTGCCTCTAACCATATGTTTTCGCAGTGAACTTGAATCGGAGTAATGTTTGCAACAGTTGTCGTAATCGCAGAAAAATCGTTGTCCCGAATGATACATCCAGTGTTCCCTAAGACTACGCGCAGAGTTGTATGCCTTTCCACAGTTCTCATAATCGCACACATATTTGCCATCAATTGGTCTTAATTTACGACTCTTTTTGATCCGTTTCCGACTTTCCACCCAATTATCACTCATTTCCTCATCACTCGCACCACAACTGTATTCCTCATCCGATTCGCTGTCTATCGACTCAATTATATCGTGTCTTCTTTTGCCACTCGTTTTCATATCATTTGCTTCGTTAGTATCCAAACTCTCGCCGTCTTTACCATCGTTTTCGTCGCTCTTAAGATTATCACTCAAACTGGTCTTACATTCTTCGGGTTCACTATCTCTGAGACCTCTTTGAACGGCATATTCATTGTAAACACTTCTACCCTTTAAGTGACTTTTATTCATCTGATGATTGCGGAGCTGATCGGGTCTAACGAACTCTGCGGCACAGCCCTCGAAGTCGCACCGGTATGTGTCGCCGGTATGTCTGCGTTGGTGTCGCTCCAGATCTTTGGGATACTTATACCGCTTGTCACAGCCCTCCCAATCGCACGCATAGGTCCCTCCCATTGGTTTGCGACCCCTTTTCCTGGCAATCGTTTCCGTCATGTAATCACCCCTTCCTCTCGAGCCCTGCCCTTCAATCGTGTCTTCATTTTCGGCACTCAACTCGTGTCCATCTCTTCCATAGTCTTCGCAATCACTCAACACTTCACTCTTAAGGACACCACTTGTCCGCAGATCTAATGATAATTAAAAACAAATGATTTGTAAATAAAATAATTGATTACAAAAATAAATCATATATTTGTTTACCCTTTGATTGATGAGTCAAATGAATTAAACAGCTTTGCCTGGCATTCAATGCAATCAAATCCAATAGTTTTTGATTCAAATCATAATTAATTTGTTTATTATTTTGCAAATCGTTTAAATATTTTTCGCATTTTTCGGAAATCAATTCAAAACGCGATAAATCTGTTGACAAACAATTGATTTCGCGTTTCAATGCGTTTATCATTGAATACAAGTCATCGCGACTTAAATCACGCAATGAATCAAACGATTGACTCATTTTGAGCACTAATTTAATTGCAATTTATGCCCAAAAACCCAACACTTCCGGGATTTTCGATTCAACATTAGATGCAAAACATAAACAAATTAAAAGTCAATTCGTTTACATATAAAACGTCGGAAAAAAATAGCGAAAAAGTTTTGATTCAAATCTGTTTATTAAATCAATCAGAAAATTATATTTAAAAAATTATTTTAATTATTAATAAAACATAATTTCATAAACCAATCACTTCTTCGGTCTCTTCACACGTCTGTCCATAAGATTGCATTCATTTGTCATACGTTTGGACACGACTTCAGACCCATTCTGATGAGTGTTTAAGACATGTCTCTTAAGTGCGAATCCATTGGTAGACCTGTACTCACAGTCAGGCCAATGACAGCCTCTGCCCAAAGGTAGACCTCTGTGTCTCTTCTCGTGATAAATGAGATTACGTTTCATTAGGAATGTCTCCTCACATCCGGGCCAATGGCACCGGTAGACAGTGTCAGCCGTGTGTGTATTCATATGGCTTTCCAAATAACTTTTACTGGAAAATGATTTCTCACACTCAGACAGTTGGCACCGGTAGACAATCTCTCGCGTGTGAGTATTCATATGTACCTTCAAATTTGAATTAGTATTAAACGTTTGGTCACATCCGGGCCATTGGCACCGGAGTCTTAGGGACGGGTCGTGTGTCGGCAGATGTTTAACGAGTTCGCCATTTGTAGCGAAGGTATGTCCGCATCGGTCGCATTCAACTGTTCTCGGAAGGCTTCACGCATGCGTTGGAGCTAAGAGTGTCTTATTTTGTGCTTTCATTTAAATCGTGAAAATTGAATTAAAATTGATTTAATTAGTGAATCGTTTGATTGTGTCATACATTTAAGTATCTCAGGAGTCCGGAGGAAGTGGTGTCTAAGGCTGACAGCCGTCAGACATCGAGGAATCAACCGATAAAGTGGTCACACATTTCACACACACGTGTATTGCGTCATAGAGTACGCCATAAATAGCGTTCAGATTGCAAACAACTGATCCCAGACTTGGAGAACAACAGCGGACAGAAGACGAGATGTCTGACACCGAAGACATAGACGAAAGCGACCACATCTTCGACGTGGAGTCGGTGTCCACCAAAGAAGTGATCGATCACTTGCAGAACTACTTCCAGAAGCACATGAAAGGCGTGGGAATCGCACACAAGAATTACATCATCAGATGTGTCGCCGATTTAGCCGAAGGACTCACTTTCTGTCGACAAGAAGTGGCGAAACTGGACGCACAGAAGGACGCCCTCCAGAACCAAGTCCTGCACCTGAAGAGTGCGAACTCACGCTTCGATAGTCAACAGATTGCCATCAATCGCATTGAAGCTCTGCTCAACGATAAGGTTCTTCCGGTCGTCGAACAGATGAGACCAGAATCTCTTCAGCGAATAGAGGAGTCTCTGACGAGAGGGATGTCAGACATGAAGACAGTCGTGGAGAGGATTCCGACCTCTCAGTCGAAGGCCTCCACTCAAGAGTCAGACCTCTGGACAGAAGTCGTAAGAAGGGGTCGTAAGAAACGGACGGCGACTCAAGACCACCCGCTAGTCATTGAGCCAATCGATCACTCCAACGCCGACACGACTCGGACTGCCCTCAAGACTACAGTCAACCCTATAGACCTCGGCATCGGTATATCATCTCTAAGAAGATCAACGAAAGGGAAGTGTATTCTCGCAGTCGAAACGTCTGAAGACTTGGAAGTCCTTCGCCAACGCCTGACATCTGTACCCGACTTCGAGAAGGCCTACAGAATACGTGATCCCAAGAAACGTGACCCACGAATGCGCATAAATAGAGTGCCGAAGAAGACGGAAGACGACAGTCCAGTGACAGACGACAAGATTATCGGTTGGCTGTACGAACACAACACACGAATCGCATCAGAATATGCATCCGTGGACGAGCTCCAGAAGGATATGAAATTTCTGTTTCATACGAAGTCATTCAACAGCGACTTCTTTGATGTCGTGATTGAAGTGAAACCCAAACTCCGGAAAATACTTCGTGAGCTCCAGAGAGTGAGACTCGATTGGACTCTAAGTCAAGTAGAAGATCACATTCTAATTACAAGATGTTTCAATTGCTGTGGTTTCGGACATCGAGCGACAAGAGTGACATCGACTGGAGTGTCAGAAAGGGTATGTCCTCACGAGAAGCAGATCTGCACGCACTGCGCTGGAGATCATAAGTTCAAAGACTGTACAGTAAAGTCCGACAAATCAAAGACCTGTTGTGCGAACTGTAAGGCAGAAAAGATACGCACCAAAAATCCAAACATACGCACCGATCACTCGGCAATGGATGACAAGTGCAAGTCATTGGAGCGATATTTGAAGTCCGAGTTCGACCGCACAAACTGGACATACAATGGATAATACGACCAGAAATCATAAACTCAGCCCTCAAACCATACGCATAACTCAACTAAATTGTCAAAATTCCCCTCAAGTCGTCGATCAGCTCATCAACAGATCTGATACACAAAATACAGACATTTTACTATTATCTGAAGTCCCGATTCACACAAGAACTGGTCGTCCACTCATCAGTCAACAAAAGAGACCGATTCGTGTTATACCAAACACTGGAAGCACGAGAACAGCAATAGTTATCATGAATTCAAACCTTTCTGTGCATTCATTACAGCACTTGTCGGACACGAATCATACGGTTGTGACGATTGAGACACCAGAAGAACAGATTCACCTCATCTCTGCATATCATCCGCCACACGTCGACAACACAGAACTCATCCAAAAGTTAGTGGACATCATCGATGGTCTCCAGAATAAGAACTTCTGCATAGGAATCGATGCGAACGCAAAGTCTGGAGCGTGGGGTCTACTGCCACATCAGGTCGAGGACAACAGAGGGACCAATATGTGTGAACTCATGTCTTCGTATGACATATATCTACTTAATGACGGAATGACTCCAACTTTTATGAATAGAAGCCGCCAGCTCTCGTTCATTGACTTGACATTAGTTGGCCGATCATTACTACACAGAACTGGCGAATGGATGGTCTCTGAAGAGGAATCAATGAGTGATCACCGATATATCGATTTCGAGATAGAGATCGGAAGAAGACCACAGAATCAACGCTCACTCTCAAGAAAATACTGTACCATTCGTGCAGATTGGGATCTATTCAGAGATCTTATTGTTGCTAAAAAGCTAAGTCTGTCGGAAACCATTGAAGACATCGATTCTATGGATGCGACGGAAACCGCGGCGCAGACACTAATGACTGCAATCTGTGAAACGGCGGACAAAGCAATCCCTAAGTCGAGAGCTTGTGAGCGATCAGTCATTTGGTGGACACCAGAGCTGACAATTCAAAGAAGCGAAGTCAGAGAACTCCGGCAAATCTCCAACGAAGCTAATGAAACAACAAGAGAAGCAAAGCGAGAAGCATATGTCCGGGCCTTCAATAAGTACAAGACTGCCATCAAGAAAGCGAAACATAAATCATTTCAAGACTTCATAACTAACTCATCGACTGCCGACCCCTTCGGACTCGCCTACAAAATGTTTCGATTGAAGCGCAAGACGTCAGCTCCTCTGAAGTCACTTCAACGTCCGGACCAGACATTCACAGAAACAGAGACAGAAACAGTGGATCTACTCATGACATCATACTTCCCAACAGACAGTCCACTGAATGACAACGAAGAAGATATCAGAACCAGAGCTGAAGTCGACATAACACCGGACACAGAAGACGACATCTGTTTCACAGAAGCAGAAGTTAGGCATGTCTTCGGCCGAATGGGAAACAAGAAAGCTCCGGGTCTGGACATGATTTGCCCATTGATTGCGAAACGGATTCTAGAAATATTGTTAAGTGAAATCACAGTCTTTTTCAACAAATGTCTTCAGTTCTCGTGTTTCCCAAAAATCTTCAAAGAAGCGATTGTGACATTCATTCCTAAGCCAAACGCCAGTTCTGTGAACTCATACAAAGCCTTCCGTCCGATATGTCTTCTGTCAGTAATCGGGAAAGGATTGGATTGTCTTCTTGTGAATCGTATCACTTGGCACTTGAGATCTAATCGCAGACTCAGTGATAAACAGTTTGGATTTGTGCCACAAAAGAGTGCAACGGATGCTATAATGGTTCTCATGGATCACATTAAACAGAAAATAGCCACAAACGAAAGGGTAGTAATGGTGTCATTCGATGTACAGTCGGCCTTCGACTCAGCAAAATGGCATCACATATTGGCAGCACTCAGATCACACGACTGTCCACGAAATCTGTATCAACTCATCCGACACTACCTATCAGACAGGTCTGCAGTATACGAGACAGAAGCGCACCGACATAAGCGGGTGGTAACACAGGGGGCCATGCAGGGGACTCCGGCCGGACCCCACCTCTGGAACGCTTTATACGACGGACTCCTTCAGGTCTCTCTCCCAGAAGGAGCTCAACTTCAGGCTTATGCAGACGACGCGCTTCTTGTAGTGAATGGAATCAATCAACGAGAAATTGAGACGATATTAGCCGAAGCTCTTCAGACGATATGTGACTGGAGTCACAAATATGGGATTCGCTTGAATCCCGAGAAGTCCCAAGCGATGCAATTCTGGCGTCCGAAACAGAGAAAGAGCGGCAAATTCATCGATCGCAAGGCCCCCCGAAACCCGATGTGTCGATACGACGGGAAACCCATAAAGTTTGTCAGATATCCGGAAACTATCCGATACTTAGGAGTCCATATCGACCCCAAACTTGACTTCGAGCGCCACATCAACAAAGTCTGCGCCACAGCCCGAGAAGCCATCACTAAACTGTCGGCCATAGCACGGGTGACGTGGGGTCTGACTCCCGACTCCCTTCGGACGATATACATGAGAGCCATCGAACCGGCGCTGTTGTACGCACTCCCAGTTTGGGCGGACAGAGCCGTCATCCTAAGCAACAAATGCAAGCTATCGAGTGTTCAGAGGTATGCCTTGATTCGGGCCAATCAGGCCTACAGGACGGCGCCGACGGACTCATTGTGTGTTTTGGCGAACGTATTGCCCATTGAGTTAAGAGTCGCACAATTGGCTGCAGAATATCGCTTGAGAAGTCAATCGACAACTGATGACACCAATGAATTGATCGCCAGATTCACAGAAACACTTGACTTCACATCGATTGAGCCGAGAGTCCAGTACTACTTTCGAGTTCACCCCGGAATGAGACCTCAAATAGACACCAATGAATTCCCGGCTGACGTCAACATATATACTGACGGATCCAAAGACGACACCAAGACTTCTGCAGCGTTTGTGTCGTATGAAGACATCGAAGAAACGGAATTCCAGTTCAGACTCGAGAAGCAGTGCTCTGTCTTTCAGGCGGAAATGGTTGCCATCAGAGAAGCTCTCATTTATGTGTTGGACAGAGGATTGACTTCTGTCTGTCTGTACACCGACTCCTTGTCGTCGATTATGGCACTCAAAGACCACGACTCCACTCATCCACTCGTCTGTAAGATATGGGATCTGCTGACAGAACTCTACAGAAGGCAGACCCGGATTGCGTTCATCAAAGTGGCCGCACATACAGGAGTTCCCGGCAATGAAAGGGCTGACAGTCTGGCGAAGAGCGCACCCGAAACGGACCACAAGGCGTATGGCATGAGATCTGTACTTAACTGCAAGACTCACATCAGGGATAAGGCGCGCGAGAAGTGGGAAGAGATCTGGAGGTCGTCAGAGACCAGAGGTCTCGCGAAAGCACTCTTTCCGACCATAAAGTCCAGGATTTCGGCCAAAGTCTACAAAATGGGTCATTACGTGACACAAGCGCTCACAGGACACGGACAGTACGACCAATACCTGCACCGGATTGGAGTCAAAGAGTCAGCCGATTGTCGGGTCTGTGGTGCAGAAGACACGGCCAGACATCGACTGTTTGTGTGCCAGAGGTTTGAAACAGAGAGACAACAGTTTGAAGAGACGTTTGGCAAAGAACTGAATGAGTCAAAGAGTCAGCCGATTGTCGGGTCTGTGGTGCAGAAGACACGGCCAGACATCGACTGTTTGTGTGCCAGAGGTTTGAAACAGAGAGACAACAGTTTGAAGAGACGTTTGGCAAAGAACTGAACGAAGAGTCCATCCGAGAGGTGACGGAAACCAAGGAATCGTTCGAAGCATTCATACAATTAGCGAAAGACATCTCACCTATAGATCTGATGAGAGAGGAAACGACTATTTCTTAACTTTTAATTATTTTCATTCATTTATTCTTATATTTAATTTACATTTACTTTAATTATTACTAATTATCACAAAGAAGTCAATCACATGTAATCCGTATATAATCTGATGTATTGATAACTATTAGGGGTCTGCCGTACCACTGAGTGATGCGGACCCGACTAAATAAATTTGATTCATAATAATTCAACTGTTCTCGTGTGCGTCAACTCGTGATTCTTCAACATCTCCTTGACTTTAGTCCTATACTGACAGCCCATATGCGAGCACTGGAACCACGGTTTGTCGGGAAAGGCGTCGGGATGTCGTATGAGTTGATGTTGAGTACAACTGTGAGGTTCGCACTCTTATACAGACAGTCATTGATCCCACAATTAAACCACTTTTCCGTCGTGTGAATCAATTTGTGTTTTTTAGGCCATTAGCAAAACCCGTCGCGAACTGACACCCGTCCCAATCGCACCGGTAGGTTGTCCTATGGGTTCGTTGTTTATGTGTATATAAATAGCGTTCAAATTTGAATGTCTTCGAGCAGTCCTCCCAATCGCACCGATAGTTTCTGGCAGTGGGAGGAGTGTGTAGTTCTCTATGATTGTTAAGAGTTGATCGCAGTTTGAACGCCTGTCCACACCCGACCCAATCGCACGCATACAGTTCCCTCGACCGGTGTTTTAGGGATTTATGCGACCGAAGGCTTACCGGATTCGTGTATACATTGTGACAGCCCTCCCAATCGCACCGATAGCTCACTCCCGAGTGACTGTATTTGTGTTGATCTAAACTCGACGACTGAGTGAACCGTTTGCCGCATCCCTTATAGTCACACACATAAGGCTTTCCTCCCTTTTCTGTCAAATCACTTTTCTTAGCGTTTGGTTTAATAAATAAAATCTTATCACTACTCGAGTCTTGTCTATCAATTTTGTGCTCGTTTTCATCAATTATCACATCATCTGATCCATGGCTAACATCTAATACATAGTTTTCGACCACTTCCTCGCCATTCAATTCAATTGATTCCGTCTTTGAATCACTTTTCTCTTCATTTGTTTCAATAGTCTTCTGATCACCACTTCTTCGATGGCAACCAATTTGTGGCAATACTTCCGATAAATATATTAAACGCTTTTCAAAACCCTTTGGATTAGCGTACGAGTGATCGATACAAACACAAGACTTGTTATCATTGGTTTCGTTCAAAGTCTTATGACTTCCTCTCGAGTCCTGTCTATCATTCAAGTCTTCAGTGTTTTGGCCAACACTTCCGTCAATTGTCTGTTCGATGCATGAGTTCTTTGAATGGTTTGTATCATCGATAGAGCCGTCAATAGTCTTAGCATTACGTGAACCACAATTGACACGACAGTCGCTGCCATTCAATGCAAACAAATCCAGTATTTCTTGAGTCAAATCACAATGAATTTGTTTATTGTTTTGTAAATCATTTAAATATTTTCGGCATTTCTTTGAAATCAATTGAAATCTCAATAAATCTGTTGACAAACAATTGATTTCACGTTTCAATGCATTCACTAATGAATACAACTCTTCACGACTTAATTGAGACAAATCTCCCGAAGTTTGACTCATTTTGAGCACTAATTGAATTGCAATTAAAACCCAATTTATGCGAAAAATAACCTCAACTTTAATCACAATTCAAATGACAATTGAATGCAAAACATAAACAAATCAAAAGTCAATGCCTTTCATACAAAACGTCTACAAGTTATCAAAACTATAAACTTTTGTTTATTAAATTTACTCTAAATTACAATTAAAAATAAAACATTTTATTAACTAAAACTCTAAATCTTACGTAACTACACTATACTAACATAAATTAAACATTAACAGCACCGGTAGTCAGTCGTCCAGGAACTATACCAATACCGTAATGTTCAGCCATATGTTCATTGAGTTTGGTTTTCCGTTTGCAGACATAGTCACATCCGGGCCATTGACACCACCACCCCCTATGGGCCCTCTCGTGTTGATAAAACGTATTCTTAATAGTAAACGCTTTTCCACAGCCCGGCCACCGGCACCGGTATGCCGTCTCACCCGTGTGGCTATTCATATGCAACCTCATGACCGTATTATCCGCGAACAGTCTCTCACACCCCTCCCACTCGCACCGGACTTTTAGCGACTCGTCGTGTCTTATCATATGCTTCTTGAGGTTAGCGATCTCTCCGAACCCCAGCCCACAGGCGCTGCACACGTATGGCTTCGTGTGGTACCTCTGATGTCGGTGCCAATGGGACCGGTGTT